AACAATAATAATATTAATAATGGCAAGAGAGGAAAATGTTCACATTTTTGCAAGTAAAACTGATGCAGATTAAATCCTTGCTTACGTGTGTGCTAAGGTACAGACAGAATTTGATCTACTGAATATTTCATTAAGGTGTTGACAGCTAAGCATCTGAGATACAACTGCTGAGATTATATATAAAACATGCCAAAAGAGAGTAAATAACAGACTACTTGATCGTTTTCTCTATTTTCGGTCTCTTTGTCTCTCCCTTTCTCTTTTTAACTGCATACAGTGTAAAAACTGGCTCACACATGTTCTTGCAAAGAAAAGGCGAGAGCTGAGGATCTGATTGCTCTGTGAGATTGTGGCAGCCATTATTCATACAGAACTGCTGCTATCATTAAGAAAAAGCCCTGAATCATACAGTTAAACACAAATAAATCTATCCATGGGAAAACTAACTCCAAGGGTCTTTATTGGACCTAATGGCTCCTTTCTAGCTTTAAAACATCTCATATAGAAAAGAACAATCTATAGAGTGAACGAGAATCTCTGGAGACAAAGTGAGCAGCTGCACTCACCAAAAGCACTAGCTTGCAAGCATCATTATTAAACAGTTTACAAACAAATGCTCAGTCCAATAAGCATTCTTTAGGAAGCTTTAATGAACAAAAATAATTCTTTTCCTTTAAATAATTTTTTAAACTTATGTTATTATAAATATATTTTTCTATTTTAGCACACCAGCCTACTAATATAACAAAATGGGAAATTAAGCCTAGTTCATATATTTTACAAATTAGTACTAGTGTGTCTATGATTAATTAATAGGAAAAGGGCTACATTTGCACCTAAATATTTTTACAATGAATAATTTATCCAAGTTTACTTTTAGCATATTGGTAAAGCAAGCTTCATTTCACATACTGCACAGTAAAATCTCTCTAAAGCAATTCATGAGACAAAAAAATTGCAAACATAAAAATCAATTGCTCATTTCCATTTAAAACTTGGAGCAGGACTATATAGAGTAGATTTAGGATATCCTCATAATATATGTGATTGTCTAGGACAGATATAGGTTCTATTATTCCCAGCAAGAAAAAAACTGTTAATTTCTCTAGAAGCAAGTTATTTGTGTTAATTTATTCATTCACATATTCCTCATTCCCACAAAAACACTTCTTTGTGAAAATGGAGAAAAATATACAGTAAATTAAATCTGGTGCAGTGATTTAAATCAGCAGATATGCTGTAAAGGGGGGAAAGATAAGTTATCTTAATTTATGAGCCTTACAGTTGTGAGTCATGTCCTGTTATGGTTATTATATTTATGAGGTCTAAATGACTGCTAGAATAAATAACAGATATACACCAATCCAAAATGCATGATGAGAATGCTACATAAAATCTTCAAAAACATACCGAGATCACAGCAAAATATTCAATTTCATTTAGTTCACTCAGCAATTTTGAATAGCAAGAATGATGTATACAAGTAGGCAATACTGATTTCACAAGAAACCCTAACTCTAGGGGTTAGAATTTAAAGTTATTATTCTCTAAAGTTCAAATAATTGGCGGTATTGTGTTCTCTCTTGAGATAACAGGAACTGAGATGTTGATGAGAAGAGAGGCAGAAGGACTGACATGTTACCGACTGTTCAAGGATATGACAATATCACAAAAAGAGGCAAGAGAAGTGAGCCCTTTGTGTATCTGGCTGTTTATATAGCACAGAATATCAATCACTGATGGAAAAATGTACCATGTTTCAAAGCCAAACTCTTTATTGTACATTAACCATAGAAACAACTGTAGAGAATTATTTTCCATCCAAAGTTAGAAAAGCTCTTTTTGCTCTAATGGCTTAATGTGAATTGACAGTGAAGTATATCCCTGGAGAACTGAAACACTACGCTCTAAGTGAAGTAAAGACAGCACAATTCCATTTATACTGACACAAATGCCAGCTTATAGATTTCAATAAGAAGCAGGAATTTTTCAAGACTTCTGTAGGGGTTTTAACTAGTGCAGATTTAGATTTTGATTATGGCTTCTTCTCTTTTTCCTCTTTTTTTTTTCCCCTCTAGTAAAGCCACTGATAACACAATTGCTATGTCACATGTTTCATTACCTGAAAAGACAGAAAATAGATGACTCTTATCTGAATTTGCTGCTAATATAGACTGCTGGAGCTTTGTACACATTTTCACCATTCAGTGGTAGAATTCTTAAAGAGACTCACAACCGACTACTTTGGTTTCTCAGACCATTTGAAGATTGGCTCCGTAGCCTTGATTTTATTGTACAGTTGTCTCATTCTCTTTCTGTCAATTGTATTATATTTTTGTAAATTGAAGTTTTCAGGTTTCTACTAACTGGTAAACAAACAAACTTTTACATGACTGCACAGTAAACTACATGTGCAAGTGCTGTGATGGTGTACTGATTCAATAATTCAAAATATGAAGGAGGCAGGAAAACATAAGGCATTCTTTCTAAGCTCATTATTTATTGCAAAGAAAACAAGATGAAAGAATTATGCTGAGCAAAAGCAATTTCCCAGCTGCCGGGCCACACATTTAAAAGATAGAGGTCCTTTTATATTTAAAATTCTTCCAAATAGGTGTGATGAGGGCATCGGTTGGTAACCCTGGGCTGACAATACTATCCTGGAACTTATTCTGCAATGAGTACTTTAGTAACTGTAAAGACAACCAGCACCCACTGTGAGTTTAAGGAAGAAGTCTGATTCCTTGCTATTTCCCTCACTTTTTGGCCTAGTGTTGTAATAAAATAATCAAAGTTTGACTTTTATACTGGGTTCAGCAACATTTACGTCACAGGTTGCTGGATTGTCAGACTCATAAGATAAGAAATTTTAAAGTTGCACTTACCAAACAAAGTTTTTATTGTGGTGTTCAAAACACAGTTAAGGTTTTAATCTTGTAGTGAGTTCAGTACTGTGGTAACATCTAAGCAAAGTACAAGACATACTCCAAAAATGAAACCTAGGGAATTTCTATTGTCTTATGTTTAAACATTTAGACTCAGCTTGTATTTGGAAGGCAGAAAGTCTGACCACCTCAGTACATGGCTAAACTTTACATTTTAGGGGATATTAGGCGTGTTAAGATTGCCACAGCCAATATCTCTCTTCTTTCACACGAGTTGGGAAAGAAATTATGACTACTGGAGAACTCAGTAATAACTGCTTGCTGGAAGAAACCTACCACAATCCCTTTTACACTCCAGCACTTCTTGACTGCTATAGTTCTTCCCACCCTCACACATGACCTATAAGAGAGCTTCTGTCTATGGTTGAGTCTTACACCCAGGAAAAATGGAAATCTGAATGATGCAGTGGTGTGATATTATGGGGCAAGAACTCGCTTCCTTAAAGTAGGGTCCTACATTACCTGAAATAAACTCTCAAAAAATATTTTCTACAAGTGTTTCAATAAACCACTCACAACCTTGCCCTCACAGATGCAAAATCCTGACAATAAGGAAGCATTTTGTTACAAAATAAGAGAGGTAATTTGATATTCTCAAATGAGAGGAAGCTCAACAGGCTCTTGGACTCAGCTCAGCTCAATATGTATATTGACATATTTGTTATGGGTTCTCTGTAGTTATACTGCTTTACATCAGCTGACCTTATTAATATAGCTGTCTTTTTATTTGTCTCCACTGAGGTGCTCAGCATGAGAATTTCAGTGGTTTAAAATTTTATTAAATTAAGCCTTTAACTATTTTTGGTTTAGTTCATTTGTTTTTTTTTCCAGCTAGAAAAAGTGCCATTTCACTGAGCACATTATTATTTTTATTTTTTTTTTTACTTTCAAAAAGGAGTAATTTCTGAAGTATACAAAAATAAATAAAAATTTATAAAGAACTTCACATATCTTAAAAACAGCTGAAAAGATTTTTCTTTCTCTTTTAACCTTCCACAAAGAATATATTTGAGCTCAACAAGGTAAAGAAACTCTTAGCTGCAAAGGGCACATTTTCATAAAATTATGAACAATTGAAAATGGAAGGCTAGGGAAAAATGTTATAGGCATAATGTTTGTAAAACTATTGATGCCCTAAATGCTATTATACTTTCACTAGCTATGATTTCAAACATTAGCTACTGGCCTGCTGGGTTAAATATTTATTTTCTAGGAGTCCCATCTGTTTCAAGCTACCAGCCAAAAGAGCTAAATAATAAAATGTACAATATACACAGTTACAAGGTACAGAACAATATTTTTCAGGATGTTTGCACTTCTGTTAACAAGGACAGATAAACAGGCCCACCACTGGCCAATAAGCTTTTTACTGGTGGAAATTTTATCCAATAACTTACTGTCTGGTGACTGTCTGCTGTGTTAAAGAGTGCTATAAAAGCTATGTCTACATGCTCCTTCCCATTGTCAACTTTCAAATGGCCAAATCTTTGTAGATTTCAACACTCCCTTTCTTGTTGTGACTAAGGTGTTGCAGTAAATAATAAGTGACAATGCTGGGAGAGGAAGGAGAATGTGAAACTATAGCTTGAAAACCAAAGATATATTTTGGTCTCTTCTGTAATGAAATAACATTCTTTTAGATCACATGTACAGAGCAGAACTGCCTTAACAAAAAGAATCCAATAATCTCTTACATAGAGTTAATAGTTGTGTTTACTCTGTTTCTTTGGTTTTGTTTTGAGTCTGAGATTATATTGAACAGATCATGGTTTCCAGCAAACTATATGCAATCTATAAATCCCACAATATTTCAGATGTTTCAGAGAATCTTTTTTCTTCAGTTATGCATGAAAGTCTTTATCCAGTAACAGTCTGAGACTAAGCTATGGCTGTAACCTGTATGTAACACAACTGGGAGGATGCAGTTTTTATCCTTATAATCTTGACAGTTTGGAAAATGACAGTCAAAGCAAAGGTCAAAACAGCGCTCCAAAGGAAATTTGCATTTATACATACAACCCTGCAATGTTCCTTTCCACACTGTTGCAACTCCTATATATCACAAAAACAGAAACGACCTCTTGAAACAAAATCTCTGAGGAGAATAAACTGCTTACAGTTTAGAAATTGTGGGAAAAATACAATTTATATCATGCTCTATGAAGCTCATTTCTTTCCGGATTCTGTAACCTCAATGCACTGCAGGCATGAACTAACCTGTAGTCATATTTCCTGTTGATGTGAAAGGGGAATATTATATTTCTTTAGTTCATTTTTTAAAAAGCATGTTTCTCTTTTTATATATATTTTTCTGCTCTATCAACATCATTTAAAGATCTCTGCTTTAGTAATTTTGAGTCATAGTCACAAACTGTACTGTCTTCAGCACTTTGGCAGTGATACTGTATCTGGGTTTCCGTAGTGATGTACAAACAGATAAATTTTTCTCCTCCCATACAGAGCACATCCTTCTGATGGCATTCCTGTTGTGTGGGAGGGCGGCTCTGCTCCATTCACACACTCACAGATGTGGCCTCCCGGGTTTACTCCTGACGGGCTTTCCAGCAGAGGAACATTTGTAGCCTCAAGGCCACTCTGCAGCCTTCTAGTAAGCAGTCAGGGCATCACAGCTCAGGCTCTGTTTCTTCCTCTCACTGATGTGTTGGGTTGGTTTTTATCCCGTGAAGCCGAGAATTTGCCTTTGGAAGGGAGAGACAAAGAAAGCAGGGAAGAGGGAAGAGAAGATAAAAGGAAAGGGGAAAGGAAAATGAAAAAAAGAAAAAGGAAAAGGGAAAAGAATAGGGGGGAAAAAGGAAAAGGAAATGGGGAAGAAAGCTCAGAAAAAATAACAAATTTTGGTATTCTCTAAAACTGTCAAGAACAAAAGCACTGTTCCATTCATAACTGCTGTTTTACAAATAATTTTAGTTACATGGCTATGAAGTAACACAGAAATTTTGAGTCCCTGGAACAAAACCTTGCTTGAAGCCAGTGATTTGATCAAGAAATGCCACAGAATGCATTGCAATCTAATCTCTTCTCAGACAGTTAATGGCATACATGAATGATAGAGAATAATACATTTAAATCATCTTATTTCTTTGAAAAATGTTTCCACAGCAAGCATTTTATCATAACAGCTGTAGCTGCTGCTTCTGCCAATAGGACATTTGTGTGACTGTATAGATCAGCACAGGCCATTTCCTGCAGGAATATTTTATTCTATAACTAAATCAGGAAGAAAAACACCTGGAACACAGTTGAAGGATGTTCAAAATAACACAAGGTTATTTAATACCAGATTTTACTCCACAGCTTGCTAATGGAGCTTTCTGGTGTATTGTAATATAGCACAGGAACTGCAATGGCCTCATGAAGGGAAAATGCCCCTATAAAGCTGTGCTTAGGGTGGGTGAGGAGTTGATAGCCTTGGTGCTAAACCGGTGCTGCAAGAGGGAGGATGAGGTCATTACTTCTGCATGAAAAGCAATATGTCAGACATATGTAAAAAAAGAACCTGATTCTCCCAAAGCATCTTAACATATTCTCTCTGCCTGGAGAAGACAAAGAGAGGTTCAGTATAGAACAGGCCTATCTCCATTTTCAAGTTGACAGTAATGTCACAACAAAGCATGGGGAGAGGGAGAAATGAGAGGAATTCCCCACATTTTATTGTGATCGTACTCTCTCTACCAATAAATCCTCCTTGGTTCATAAAGATTCTTCTAAAGAGCAATTTGATTTGTCTTTGAAAAGCAGTGGAGTGCATCAAATGTCATTAGTTCTTTCAATATGTCCATAGACTACTGTAGGCTTGGAGCTTTATGCAAAGTCCCTTGTCACTCCTGGCCCCATTTTTCCTTTGTAGAAATCCAGATTAAATTGTTGTGTGTGTGTTTCCAGTAGCACACTGGGATTGAAGTTCTTTAATGTTCTCTATATGAGTAGCAAGGCACATTGGTTCAGGCTCCAGGATATGGTTAAATTGAATGATTATATTGCAGTGGATTTTTCCAAAGAAGGCAAATCTTGATGCAATAGCTTGGAACTACACAACTAATCAAAATTATTCATATTAAATCAGTGGTATCATATTCTCTTTGGACTCTTTCTTGAGTATACTTATTTAGTTAGATCTCCCTTTCTGATTCTTGCCTAACTGCTAAACACTTCAAAAATATCTGATGTTCTAACTCTATCTATTGCATTTTTCCCTTCCCTCAACCCCTTCATCTGCTTTTCTTCTGTCTCCTCCACTCCTATCTCACTCCCCAGGCTCTCCAGTTTTCCAGTAAAGATAATTATTCTCCTAGCTCTTCACCTTCTTTTATAATTTGAGTAGCATCAGCTATTTTTCTATGCTGAATAATTCAAGCTATGAAACTCCATCTTTAAATGCCTCTCTGTATCCATTCCCCTACGCATCTACTAAGTGTCACTCAGTAGAGCTTTGCATATTCCATCCTGCAGTACTTCCTTTCTTCCAGGTGCTCCATTAGGACGTGGTTACTCTGATCTTACAGAAGGATTGATCGTTCACGACTGCCCTATTCGACTCTGCCTTTCTAGAAATGGTCCTACCATTGAAGACCTACAAGAGGAAATCCGGGCAACTAGGACTGCTGCCAAAACTATAATCCACATTCCCTAGGAAATGATGTGCCTGCCCTGACTGAGGCAAGCTTAAATCACAGGCTGTTAGAGAAAATTCAGGCATCACGTGCATTTAATATTAGACACTTTTGTAGAAAACCCTGCCAATCATGTTGATTTGTGTCAAATTAAGTGCAATGGGATCCTTTCTTTTTTTTTTTTTTTTTTTTTTTTTTTTTTTTTTTTTTTTTTTTTTTTTTTTTTTTTTTTTTTTTTTTTTTTTTTTTCTTTTTTTGTCTCTTTGTTTTTTAATTCCTGTGGACAGCTTGGAGGCAGGAAATTAAACAAACCTTTTTCAATAATCATCTTGGCTGAAAGTAAACTGTGGTCTTAATAATCAGAGAGGGACAATCATGTTATAAAAAGCTATCCCTCAGGTAAGGAATGTTTGTCAAAATTAAACTCTTATAAAATCACCAATAGGAGAGACAACTTAACAGGCATGATCTTGATTTTACTAACAATACTATAAAATTAAGAGATAATTCCACGTGTCCATTGGGTTTCAATGAAGTTTCTCATCACCTTACACTATTGACAGATTATTTTTAGATTTCTCTTGTGAAGCAGGGAAATATTCCAATTTTGAAGAAATACATATTCTAACTTTATAGGTTTCACAAGTCTATCAAGCTCTCACTTCAGTACTAAATTCTTTAAAACATTTTTTCTGACTGAAAAAAAAAAGAACCAGGAAATTTCTCTGCTGTGAAATATTAAGTAAGAGCAGAGCCAGCAGTAATGCTGTGTATATTTTGCACAAAATTACCAATGACATATCAGAAGAGTACATATATATGTCTGGAACACAAAGTTTTTGGGACTCAAACTTGCACACCCTATGAAGGTGAAGACAAAGACATTTCAACTTTAAAATACATTACCATCAGAATTACTACTGAAGAGTGTTATGGATGGCTGCATTCCTCCTTTCCCTCTTCTTTAGTATCAGGTTCAGATTTTGGCTGTTACATGACTGATGGCTGGTTTTGATACCCAGAGCAGAGAGCACTACATCATTTGTGCAAGCTCTGAGGGCTGGCAAAATCCCCACTTGCCGTGATTGGAGAGCACTCAAAGGAATTGTGTCCTGTCCAACTCACTGGGATATAGAACAACAACACTTTTCAGAGCCTCTCTCATTAAGGTGACAGAAGAGGGAAGTCAAATCACAGCTAAAAAGTACGTTGCAATAAGAAATAGTAATAGACTTTCCCATATATCTCACCTTTCCAGGAAAGAATACAAGTTGCAAAACTTTGCATGTGCTCTTGATAAATAGAAGTGACCCACACCCAGTTTTTACTTAAAAGTAAATCCAAGAGGATGAAAGAGCCCAAGAAGTTCATCACATAAATAATCATTTACTGAAGGTGCAAAGATAAGGAATCAAGAGATATCTCAATATTTGCTGCCAAGAAAGATTTTTCTAATGGACATTTACACATTTACATGCAGATGACAACACTGTAAGCTCATTTTATAGTAAATCTGGTTGTAAGGCATGATTAATCTAATGTGTTTTAGGCCTTTACTTTAATATAGATAAATTGTGTCTTAGATGGAATTTATTCTCCTGTTATGTTCAATGACAGTAAAGAGAGTTTAGGGTGACTATATTGGACATGCACACATCTAGTCAGATAAATCCCATCTCGGCTTGCTGCTGAAGTCAACATATATATGTGTGTGTGTATGTGTATAATTATATGTATATATAAATGTATATGTACAAATACATATACATACATAAAGTATATTAGTGACAAGACATGTTCTTTCTTCTTATGCTGCACATGAACTCCCTGCCTATGGCCTTACAATTCACAGTAAAAGTGAAAGCCAAGAACAGCCTCCAACAAGAAATCCCTTGTGTGTGATGCTTGGCATTTCCTAATTTTCACAGTTTAAATCCTTTAGTATGAACAGGTATGAGAGTTTCCCTTGCCCTCACCTCTACCCCCAAAATGCTCAGGGAAAACAAATAACAACACCAGAGAGACAAGGACACTTCCAAATGTTCCCTTCAAAGGTGACAGACTGCTACCTCAGTCCCTGCCATCAGCATATAACTTGTCACCATTTTTTATTTGAAAGACACTGAGATACCTTGTCTTTGTAAATATTGCCTTAAGTGCAATTTTTTTTTTAGTAATTTATTTTGCTGCTGTTTTTTCTGCATCACGTAGAGGTATAAATGACCTATCTCTGTGTGTGTGTCTGCACTTGTGGAGGAGTGCTTCCCATGTTGCATTACTGAGAATTTTACCAGATATAGTTTCCAAAACAGGATTTTCCTGTTTAATTTCAAGAACATGCTACACATATTCTATTCACAATTTATCTTTTTGAAGTTCTCCTTATATTGATATAATTAAAGGTTCTTTGGTGACTTTGGTTGGTTATTGCTTTGTATATGCTTAATTTGAAAATGTTACTGCAACATCCAGCTGTAGAATCTGAGGGGTTACTTAACTTCAGTCTAATTCTGCTAGACTTATGTCTTAGAATTCAATTTATATTCCCTTACAAAATACATACATATGTATATATTTGTATTTATCTCTAAATATATATTTTAAATCTTTTACAGAAGACGTCATGATGCCAGACATTCATAGACATTCCAGATTGAGGCCTTCATAATTTGCCATTTAGTCTGTTTTCTTGTCAATACAGACTATACAATGTGTTTCTCTCCAGCAAATATCTATACTGTGTATTTTCCAGTAATTCAAAAAATTGTCATGGTGTGATGGTCTTCAAGATGTATACATTTTATTTTCCTGAAATTGATTTTGATCTGATTCTCTTTGGAAAGTGATCCTATCTCCACTCATCTTGTGTAGCATGAAATCTGATGATACAGGATAAAAAAACCCCAGATTTCTCCTTGTTTTGGCCTTTTCTGAAATACACAAACCCCACTAGCCATGAACCCTCCTGCTGATGATACAGTATATGTTATCTTTCAAGGAAAACTGTGCCACATCCAGCATTTCTTGTTGATCTAGAGAGGTTTGCCTTTTTGGTGAACTCTCCAGCT